TCCTCACCTGGTCCACAGATAGGTGAGGCCAAGACCTGTGAAGGGTGGCCCTGCAGACTATTTTTCTGGTAATAAAGAGACTATATTTAACCCCAACTAGCATGATTAGTTACCCATCTGAGTTTAGGATCCATATGGGTTCACTCCATAAAATTCATATGATAACAGCCTGTTCCACACTATATGAAAAACATATCTGCATAAATGAAAGTGTGAAAAGCTCTGAGGATGTAAGGGGGAATATATCATGTCCTGGCGTCAGACTTTCCAGCAAGACGGGCTGGAGCAGTAGCACAGCGGGTAGGGCATTTGCCTTTCACACGGCCAACTCTGGTTCGATTCCCAGCATCCCATATGGTCAGGTAATTCCTGAGTGCAGAGCCAGGAGTAACCCCTGTGCATCCCCAGGTGTGACCCAAAAAGCCAAAAAAGAAAAAAAGACCGCTATACAGGCCTGCTGTGATAGGAAGAGAGTTAAAAAAAAAATTGACTACATTAAAATCAAGTCCTCTGGTCAATAAAGAAAAAGCTTGGGGGTGGAGTAGGTAAGGTGTTGGCTTTGCACACAGCTGACCCATGTTTGGCATCCCGTATGGTCTCCTGAGCACCATCAGGAGTAATTCCTGAGTGCAGAGCCGGGTATCACCCAAAAAGGCAAAAAATAAAGTGTTTAAGACTTAGAAATATCTGAAAAGATGCTCAACCTCCTTAGGATCTAGAGGAGTGCAAATAAAGATCATAGTGATCGATGTTGCCCAAATGAAAGTATCTGCCGATCTCGTGTGCTGGATAAGTGCACCAGCAGGAACTAATCTTACGCACCACTAATGGCGAGAAGGGCAGCAGCAAGAGGCAGAAAAGTGACGGATGGCACAGTGGCTCCTTGAGGGATAGGCGATGGATGGAGATGCAGCAAGGCCAGAGGGGAGCATCCAGTTGTATGTTCAAAAGACAGGACATTTGAGTAGGGTTGAACTTTCTGTGGGAGGAAATCGTACAACTTTCTTTGGGGCAGCCTGGAAATTAGTCTCCCTCATTGAGAGAAGAGTAGATCGCCACATCATTGGAGCATTCTGAGTAGGGTGTGGTGGTCTGAAATATTTAGGGTCTGAAGAGGCACTTGGTGGGCCTGTGCCGGGAAGTAGGACGGCAGAAGCAGAGCCCAGGGAGGCCTATGTTGGACTGGACATTAATTGAAGGTAGAGGAGAACAGAGGCCACAGCGGTGGATGGGGACCCTGGCCATCTGTAACCGTGGGGGAAACGTGCTGTGTGTGAGGCAGAGAACTAGATGGGCCTTGCCCCCTCGGCCTCCAGTTGGAATAGCCCTCTGAGCATGAGGCCAGTTCCCCAGTGTGAAGCACAGGTTGGGCCATTACACACTGGGCCAACGTGTCATTAGAATGTTCACACTGACCTCTGTGGCTATGGGCAGAGTGGTAGACTCATAAGCATGGTAGAAATCCTGGACTGTGGGGAGATTAGCAAGAAGGGAAGAAGGGGAGCTTTGGGGGATGAATAGGGAGAATGCCAGCAAGAGACTGGGGACTTCAGAGAAGGAAATATTTGAGTGGGTAGACTGGATGGCAGAGAGACTTGCAGGTTTATACAACTAAATGAGTAGGAAAGGACAGAGCTCTTGCGAGAAATGCAGAAACAGTTTGAAAAAGTTCACTGAAGGGCAAGTCCTAAAGGCCAGTAAATTGGTGAAAGGGCGTTCAACCTTGAGCAGAAAAATACAGGTTTAAAAAGTAATAATACCTACTGCCACCAGAGATAGGCGTGACTTCATTCTGAGGTGGAAGTATGAATTACTGTAGCCCCTTTTTGGAAGTAGCCTAGTCATTCCCATTAAAATGAAAAAAAAAATACCTTTCATCTGTGATATTAAAATATTATTCCCAGAAATCTCTCTCTGGCAATAGAAGTGCCACTGCATAAAAATTTTGTTTGCCATTAGGTCTTTTTTATTTAAACCAATCACTTAATCACTTAAAACAAAACCCACCAAAAATTCAGTCAGCACCTACCCCTCAGGGTGAAGCTGAAGAAGTTGGGGAAGATCCAGTCACTATTCACTGTGCTGCTGTTCAGAACATGCAAGTTACATCTATCCCAATTGAATTCAAGGATTTTTATGATACAGATAATTTCATAGAATATTCTCGAAGCGTGTGTGAAGCATTGTAGTCTCCCTCTCCGAAAAACTCATGCACAAGCATGAGTTTTTATATCTGTGAATGTGGTTATATCTGTGGTTATATCTGTGAATGTGGAGAAAAACGCAACCTGCTGTAAATGACTGGGCACAGTTGGGAGGGGAAACCTCCACTCACCTGCTTGCTCTGCCTAAAGGGCCAGACTCTGGAGCCTCTGTCTCCCCGCCCCCTCTCATCATCTATCTTAGAGCTAGTTAGTGTGTGTTCTCAGTGCACACTCTCCATCAGTGCACCAGCGTGCTGGCAACCTGTCCGTTTGGGATATGTTCTTGGTGGTTCTGGATCTTTGACTCGAATGCACACTGGGGAGTCCCAGGTTGAGCTCCTGTACCATCTGCGGCTGACACCTTCTTCCTCTTTCTTTTAACTGCTTATGTACATTACTTTACATAAATAATGTAAAATACTTTACATTATTTTTTACATAAATTTTTTTTTATCTGACTAGTCACCTTTAGTCACTATAGCAGAAGTGGTCACCGCACGCCAAACAGTAAAACAATATAGAAATGAGACCAGAAAGATAGTACAGTGGGTGGGGCACTTGCCTTGCACACAGCCTACCCGGATTCGGTCTCCACCATCCTATATGGTCTCCTAATCCCTGAGCACAGAGCAAGGGATAAGCCTAGAGCACAGCTAGATGTGGCCCCAAAATTTAAAAAAACAATAGAAGAAGGGAGGAAAGTTGAATCCAGAATGGAGAAAGGCAAAGAGAAAGCACTTAATTTTGTTTTCCACACTAAAGACTGTTTTGTTTGTCTTAAATAATATCACAATATTATTGTGTAAGTCTACTTTAACAATGTTCTTGAAGTATATGAAGTAATTACAGAGTTTAAAGTAAGATGTTTGAGTTATAATTCATAGAATAAAGGGTAAACAGTGAAAGTATAGACACTAGATTGTAAGTACAGACATTGGATTGCTCCCCATTTTGGTCAGTAAGCAAAATTCAACTATTTAATGTTTATGAGAGTGACCAAATGTAAAGTGGTTGAAGACAACAAAAATTATTGGAAGAGCCATTTATCAGACTTGAGTAAACTTAATAGAAAGCTGGTAGAAATTCTATCAGACAAAACAGAATTTAAGAGATTGGAGACAGTCCAGCAAGTAGGCACTTGCCTTGCACACAGCCAAACTGGGTTTGATCCCTGGCTCCCCATATGGTCCCCTGAACCCTGCCGGAAGTGATCCTTTTGCACAGACCCGGGAATAAGCCCTCAGCATCACCCGGAGGCGTCCCAAAATATAAATACATAAATAAATAGAACATTTTGACATCTCATACTCTTGTAAGCATTAGAAAAGCAAATGTGCACTGATGCTTTTTTTTTTCTGTCCCAGTGCAAAAACTCCCCGTATTTTTTCTTGCGGAGGGCCACAGCCGGCAGCGCTCAGTGGTTCTGCACTCAGGAATTATTCCTGGCCGTACTTGGGGGACCTTATGGGATGCTGGGGATTGAACCCAGGTTGGCTGTAGGTAAGGCAAATGCCCTCCCTGCTGTACTCTCTCTCGAGCACCCCCCCCAAATACCCCAGAGTTTTTGCACAGCATTTGCATTTCCTCCCAGAAGCGCATTTCCCGACAACGGGGTGTGCAGCCGCTGCAGAGGCACCTCAGGGGCAGCTGGAGGGAGGCTGCTGTGGGCTTCAGGTGCAAAGCGCGGAGGGCTGGAAGCAGAGAAACAATAGGAGGACTTGAAGCAAACAGTGACGTTTAGAATCAAATACGCATCGACCGGAGACCGGAAGGGGGTTAACTGAATGGGGAAAAGGCTCGGAAGAGGAGTCTAGGAAAGAGATGACATTTTTTAGTAATTGCCTATTTCATCAGGTTGATTGTTGATAATTCTCACATTGTAAAGGGGCGTGTGTGTGTGTGTGTGTGTGTGAAAGTTCACTCGTAATAAAATGCATATGAGAGGCTTGTTATTGTTATTCTTTTGAATCATTTCACAGGACAGACTCCTAGGTGTAATCCAGTTGATAGCTTAGCTCCTGATTATATATTGTTGTAATAGTTGTAACCATTTTAAAGCCCTATTTTACGTGTAGTAGTTTTTAAAAGTAGTAATACTTCTTTAAAAAAATTATTTTAGTTTTAGTTGAAGTGAGATACTTACAGCGTTACTCATTATTGGGTTTCAGTCAGATAATGTTCCAACACCTGCCCCTTCACCCGTGTTCATTTCCCACTACCAATGTCCCTATTTTCCAATCCATCCCCCCCGCCCCCTCCCCCAAGTAATGCTTTTAGAATCATTTTGTCAGACCTGAGAATATAAAAATCTTTGGGGTTCTGATTAGAGTAATGTTTTAGGGAGTAGGCCACACCGTGCGGTGCTCCAGCTTATTCCTGGCTCTGTCTATGCTCAGGGATCACTCTTGATGGTGTTGGGGATGGAACCAGGGTCATCTGCTTCCAAGGCAAGAGGTTCCTTCACTGTTGTACAATCTTTCCTGAAATGATTGCATTTTGAAGTTAACAAGAAAGTCCCAGGAAATGTTCGAAGAATAGGCCCTCCCGTTGATCCTCGGTTTGCAGGAGCGGGCCCAGTAACGTCTCCATTGGAGACTTCGTTGTTACTGTGTTTGGCATATCGAATACTCTCGGTAGCTTGCCGGGCTCTCCGAGAGGGGCGGAGGAATCGAACTCAGGTCGGCCATGTTGGCCGCTTGTAAGGCGAACGCCCTACCCTGTGCTATCGAAGAATATACCCAGTAACTTACCCACAAGCTCACTGAACATTTCCCAGCTGCGTTTTCTCTTCTGCAGATCGATGAACTCCCAGAGGGCGCTGTGAAACCTCCAGCCAACAAGTACCCCATCTTCTTTTTTGGCACCCATGAAACGTAAGTCAGCAGCTCTGACCTGACTTTCAGTCAGCTCTACATCTGTAACATTGGTTTTGGGGTGTTTTTTTGTTTGTTTGTTTGTTTTTGGTGGGGAGGTGGTAGGGAGGCTGGTTGGGCCACTCCGGGCAGGACTCAGGGCTCCCTGGTTCTGTGCTCAGGAATCACTCTTGGGCTGTGCTCAGGGCTCACTCCTGATGGGGTTCATGCCAGGCAAGAGCCTTACCCGCTGTACTATCTCATTTGAAATGTTCAGATCCTTGCAATCACTTACCTAAAATGACCCACCTGAATATTGCAGTTCCCTTGCTGGAAAGTCTCTACTCTCTTGTTCTTGAATGTCATTTCTGTTTCCAGTTCAGTGTTAATGTCACCCAGTAGTCTTTAGGTCTTCTTTTGAGATTGAGGGTGGTCTGCACTGGGGGCCCACAGAATGAATTATTGAGTGCAGAGGCAGGAGTTATCCCTGATCATCGCAGGGTGTGGCCCAAAACCACCACCACCAACAACAACAACAAAAACCCACCATTTCAGTTTGTTCTTAGGTAGCCCGTATATGTTTCCCTTCCAGGGCAATTTCTTTGGTTCAGTTCTCTTTTTGGGGGGCGTGGGGGTGGGCTTTGGGCCACACCCAGTGGTACTTAGGGGCTACTCACTTAGGTTCTTTACTGGAGACAGTGGAGTTGCTCCCAGTGGCGCTCAGGGAAGGTGCCAAGGACCAAACTAGGGTTGGCACGTACAAGGCAAGTACCTTACCTCTATACTGTCTTCCAGGCCCTTTTGATTTATTGGACCCTAGAGCAAAGATGCCACTTCTCTAATTTTATTGGGAGGGTCCAGGCAGAACTGCCGAAATCCAGTGTCTCAGAGAATGAATCAGGTTCATTTCTTGAGCCAGTCCAGAGAGGCAGGTAGGGCAGGCAGGTGAACTACTCTGTTCGTGTGCCCAAGCTCTCTCTCTCTATCATCCTTCAGTTCTTGTCTGCTTACTGTGGAGGGAGGATGAGGCAGTGCCTGTACTTCTTCTTCCTGGGAGAGGGAAGAGAAGAGTAAGTAACTTCCAGTAAGGTTCCTAAGCGCCGAGGACACTGCCCGTCTCCCTTATGCGAGCTTCCATCCCAGCGCGTGGCACCTCTTGCTCTAAGGCGATCTAGGGAGCTTCTAGCGGGGCAACTCAGCTGAGGGGGTGGGGACTTGGCAAGACCCATCCATCAACAAAATGGCAATCTAGATGCTTCCAGCAAGAACACGTGTGTTTACTCACAAGGGCACCAGTGGAATCGGAGTGTCAGATTGGAAGCAGGCCCACCAAAGGGTCGCAGTCTTCCGGCTCCGCGTCCTCCTTTAGCTTCACTCATCAGCAGACGGAGCCAGCCATTCTCGTCTCGAAAGTGCTAGCCAGGGGAGGACTCTCAGAACATTTTCCTTCTTGTTTTCATGTGAGAATTCTGTTGCAGGGAATTCGTTTTGTTTTTATTTAATACGCGCTGTTGGCCATGCAACTGATCATATTTCCCTCCTAAGATTGCTCAGAGCTTCAAAATAAATCTCTGAAGTTGGTTCATAGAGTATTGCGAAGTATCTTTTTGCATTTGCCGCATTCCTGTTTTCATTTTATGTCTACATTCCCCACCCCTGCCCCAGCTCCCTTGATGATTTGGTTGTAGTTCTGGGATGAGGCAGGATTAATAGGTAATAAGATGATTATGTTTCTGTCTTCTAGACACCAGAATCTGCCATTCACTGGCGTCATAACTAGTGCTCTGACTCATTTGGTAACCATTCTCAAGGCACTCTTTGAGGTACTGGGAATCCAGAGGTCCTTGAGAGAGCTTGTGACCTAGCATGCTGCTGGGGGCCAGAGAATCATGCACTGGGGAGCATGCGGTGCCCCCCCCCATAGCTGCTGCCAGCACACCTTCACTTTGAGCATATGCTTTAAATTTATCAAAAATGTGCACTGGTACCTTATTCAATGCTGATCATAAAAATATCTTACATGGGGGCTGGAGCGATAGCACAGCGGGTAGGGCATTTGCCTTGCACGCAGCCAACATGGCTGATACAGGTTTGATTCCCAGCATCCCATATGGTCCCCCGAGCACCTCAGGAGTGATTCCTGAGTGCATGAGCCAGGAGTAACCCCTGAGCATTGCCAGGTATGACCCAGAAAGCAAAAAAAAAAAAAAAAATCTTACATCTAAGGACACAGTGTCAATTGTGTTTCTGATCTACTTCTACAGTGCATTTCTAGGTCCCAAAGACCTTTTTCCTTATAAGGAATACAAAGACAAATTTGGAAAGTCCAATAAGCGGAAAGGTTTCAATGAAGGATTGTGGGAAATAGAAAATAACCCCGGAGTGAAGTTCACTGGATACCAGGTAACGGTTTCTTTCCTTCTTACCTGCCAATCCTGTTTCTTTGATTTTAACTCTCTTAGATCTTTCTTATATGTCCTTTGTGCTAATAATTACTTCCCATCCATTTGAAATCAGTTGTGGTTTTTTTCTGTTGTTTGTTTTGTTTTGAGGAGGGAGGTGTTTTTGGCCCTAGTGCTCAGTAGCTGTTCCTGGTTCTGTGCTCCAGCATTACTGTGGGTGGTGCTCCGGGGACCCGTGGTGCTGGGAACCAGGGCCAGAGACCACCATATGCAGAGCAGCAAGGATCTTGCCTCCTCTACTATCTCCTTGACTGTGAAATCAGAGTTCTTCTCCACTCTAGGATCATCTTTGAATAAATGTAATTCTTTCCTTATTATTTTTTTTTATTAATGTAATTCTGTTAGTCAAAGTGTCGAGGCCAAGTGTTCACTGGGAACTTTACATGGACAGTACTTTATTTGGAAGATCAAAAGAGTAAGCTGAACACTTTTAAATTAAAATAGAATGATTTTTTTTCACATTCTGCATTCTTTGCTATTTTTTCAGGAGTATAATTAGCTGGTATCTTATTTCTCAGGCAATTCAGCAGCAGAGCTCTTCAGAGACCGAGGGGGAAGGTGGAAACACAGCAGATGCAAGCAGTGAGGAAGAAGGCGACAGGGTGGAGGAGGACGGCAAAGGCAAGAGAAAGAACGAGAAGGCAGGCTCGAAGCGGAAAAAGTCATATGCGTCCAAGGTGACTGAGCCCGCCTGGCCTTTGCTGTGTTCTGTGCTGGTGCGGGAATAGTTGTCTTGGGCACATGGGCCCCTGCCCTCCGTGGACACTGCTGCTGTCCTGAACTTCTTGAAGGGTTCTGGTCCACCTGTGAGACCTCTTCCTTCACAGACCCTAATGTCTGTCACCCAGCCTGGCACAGGCAACTAGGATGGTTGCAGACTCTTTCGAACAGACGTGGCCCTCAAATGCCCCCTTCTCGGTTGGGGCACTCTTCTTCACTCAGGGATCGACAGCAGGAGTGTTTCCTGCAATAACCCCCAGATGAGCGCTGAGGAGTCGAGAAATGCAGGGCCAGAGAGTGTGGGAGTTAAGGGTAAGGCACCTGCTCGCCTCAGGAGCCACTGACCCTGCTTCCAGTTAATGTATGAAAAGCTATACTGACCTTCACTTTCAGGGGAGCCTGGTTGGCAGCTTTTTAGCAAAATAGAAGTGAGTATAATTTATGTGATTATAAGTCCTATCACATAGCTGGAAGCTCTCTTTTTTTTTTCCAGTTGCTTTTTTAAATATTGATTGAGGAAGTGCAAATTTACTGGTTCATTTCTGCAAGACTAAAAGGGACTTGCCGTAGCTCTCCTTTGCTAAAGACTTAAAGATTTCTAAAACTCCTCAGAGGAAATGTTAGCAAAACGTAGCACTTTGCTTTGTTCAAGACATAGCAGTGGGGCCGCCCTTGGATAATCTCACAGCTGTCAGCCCAAGCAGCTATGACTGTGAGCCACAGCTGCATTTTCATCGTTAGACTTTCAGAGTTCATCTTTGTTTCACTACAGGATGATAAGGGAATTGGGCTGGCTTACCAGTATGCTCTTATATTTCCGAAGTAACTGTATCATCTAGATTAGTTTCCATCCCCTGGTGATATAAACTTATCCAAGGCTCACCATGTGTGCTTTGTCTCTTACTACTTGGGGTCATTCATCCCAATTCTCTAAACCTCAGTTTGTCTTACTGAAAAGTTATGGGGAGGAATGTGGCTGCCACTGGTCTGATCTCAGGATAGTCCTCCAAGCACTGCCGGGGATCACTTCTGAACACAGCGTGTTCAAAACCCAAAATTATAAAAACATTTTTTTTTGAGCCACACCCAGCAGTGCTCAGGGATCACTCCTGGCAGGCCTCAGGGGACCATATGTGGTACAGGGAATCAAACCTTTGTCAACCGTGTGCAAAGCAAGTGCCCTGCCCCCTGTACTGTCACTCCGGCCCTTGTGAAAACATTTTTTAAAAGATGGCAGCTACGGGGCACTTGAGACCACACTTCAGCATCCGACCAGTGCTGTGGGTGCATGAGGTTTTACCTCTGCTTCTCGCATTGCAGTGCTCAAAAGTGCTGGAAGCTCAGGGAGCCCACCTCTCCCTTCTTTGCAACTGGTGAGTCTAAGGTGCCCTCAGGTCTGTCTGCAGTCACCTCCTGCACTAGGAACATGTGTCCAGAGACATGGGGAGGGTGTGCTCATTGGGTTCTTAGTCATCTGCGTGCCTTTGAATCTCAGCTTTCGACACTCACTCTGAACTTACCTCAACATTTAGAAATCCTCGAAACAATCCCGGAAGTCTCCAGGGGATGAAGATGACAAGGACTGCAAAGAGGAGGGCAACAAAAGCAGCTCTGAGGGTGGCGATGCAGGCAACGACACACGAAACACTGCTTCAGACTTGCAGAAAAGCAGCGAAGGGGTAAGGGCTTCACAGGCACCACCACCTCAGCATGAGACCCCCAGCTCAGCGTGGTCAGCCTTGTCCTCGGAGCCCCCGGTCCTGGCTGTGTGTCTCCAGACCCCACACATTTTTTTTTAATGTAGGAGTATTGCTATTCATTCAGCCATTGATTAGGCTGATTGATTAGGCATGAACTCCACCTTTATTTTTCCCCTTTTTTATAATTTCATTTATTGAATCACCATGAGAGCAGTTACAAAGCTTTCGGGTTTAAGTCTTGGTCATACAATGAAACACCGATCCCATCACCAGTGCCCATTTTCCACCACCAAAAACCCCAGTATACCCCCCATCCCACACCATCCCGCTACCTGTGGCTGTGGGGTGGATGATTTCTACATTACTCTCTCTCTACTTCAATTACATTCAATATTTTGACACCAGACCCACCATTGTTATTGGGATTTTATCCCAACACTCAGATCTGCCGAAAAGGCATTGTTTGCACTGTCCTCCCGTTGTTCATCAATTTGCTCAAACGGGCCCAGTAACATCTCCATTGTGAGACTTGTTGTTACTATTTTTGGCATATTGAACATGTCACGGGTAGCTTGCCAGGCTTTACCGTGCGGGCAAGATGCTCTCGGTAGCTTGCCGGGCTCTCCAAGAGGGGCGGAGGAATTGAACCTGGGCCTACCGGGTAAGCTGATGGCCATAGATACAGCACAGATCATGGGGTGCCTACCTGGCACACTCTTCAACCAAGTTTCAATCCCCATCAGACCAAAGGGTCCCCTAGTCTTCATGGGGTGATCATTGAGCAGAGTCAAAAGTAACCCATTAGCATTACCAGGAGTGGCCAACAACCAAAAATAAAGTGATAAATATAGAGCTTGGAGCTATAGTCCTGTAGGGTGTAGGCCTCACACATGGCTGACTTGGGTCAGTCCCCAGCACCAACTGGGTATTTTAAGCAGCATCCACAGGGTATGACCCAGAAACCAAATGATTTAAAGAAGAACTTGTTTATTAGTCAAACCCCACCAGGCTTGTTTTCTATTGCTGGTTATGAATAACATATGATGTCACGTGGCCATAGTAGTGACTGCGCGATTTTGGAATTCCAGAATTTCAACAATTAAATCTGGAGGGATTTTTACCAAAACCTGCTGGGTGCTGAGATTTGTTCCTGAGTCTCTTGGATCATGGCCGTTAAGCAGCTTGATCAGGAGCCAGAGAGGCCATTCATGGGCTGCGACTCAGGATCTTGTGTGGGGAGGGGAGGAAAGGGCTGGCTCCACCCCCATCCCGTGAGGCCCCGTGTGTCTTGTCACTGTGGGCCCAAACCTGACTGTCCAATGGCCTCTGGAGGATGACGGCCACCGAGCCGCCAAGGGGGAGCAGGCAGAGGGACAGCACCCTTTCCCCCTTGGGGTGGCCCAGTGACAGTAACCTACTGCAGGGACCAGACACATTTCTGCCAAAAGCCACTGGGTTCCAAGATTTGTTTTGAGTGTCTGGGATCATGGCCGTTAAGCAGCTTGATCAGGAGCCAGAGAGGCCGTTCGTGGACGGCAACTCGCAGACCCCTCACATTTTTAACACCACTTTTAGTCAGAAAAATCATCGAAGGGAAATGGTCCGTGGTGGAGGGTTTAATTTTCCCAGCCTCCTGGTGATTACAGAAAACTCAGCTTTAGTCACTGACACTCTGTCCATTGTTGCTCTGAAAATAAGACTTGCTTGTTTCACCACATTCCAGATGCCTGACCAGATCTGAGAGTGACTAACCCATCGTGAGTTTTCAAGTGCAAGTGGTGCCCCATGGAAAGAGCCTAGACGCCCACTGCCTCATGCCTGCTCACAGCCTTCTAGGCCCCACTAGCCAGTTCAGGGTTTGGGAGAGAATCTGCTGGACTGTCTAGCCACTGCCAAGCAGCCAGTGTCACAGCATGGCCATGAGGGTTTAAGCAACCCCTTGAGTCCCTGGCACAGCAGAGAAGTCATTAGGGATTAGAAAGAGTTTCTGACACACAGATGCAAGCAAGAGTGATTATGGCATGAGAAGGGAAAAAATTAGATGTAGCATATGCTTTATAGAAGGGCACATTTTCTTTTTAATTTTTTTTTTAATTTATGGCTTTTGAGCCACACCCAGCAGTGCTCAGGACTTACTCCTGGCTCTGCACTCAGGAATCAATCAAGGGACCATATGGTATGCCAGGGATCAAACCCAGGTCTGGTGTGTGAAAGGCAAGTGCCCTCTCTGCTGTACCATCTCTCCAGCCCCAATAGTCATAGATTTTAAGTGTGATTTTTTTTTATGCTTGTTTCATTTTGTTCGGAAGAGAAAGGGCTATGGATTGTATTTCTAGGCGGGAGCAGTGCTTTGCTTGCTGACCCCAGGGTTCAGTCTCAAGCACCACCTGGAAAGACCCCGCGCTTAACTAAAACCAGGAATTAAAGAGTACCCAAGTGCTGCTCAGTATAAACCTCTCAGCCCCCACCAAGAAAGGAAATAGATGGGTATTTTATTGTATGACCGAGACTTAGACCCGAAAGCTTTGTAACTGCTCTCATGGTGATTCAATAAATAAAATTATGAAAAGGTAAAGGTAAAGGCCCTCCCGTTAATCATCGATTTGCTCGAGCGGGCCCAGTAACGTCTCCATTGAATTATGAAAAATGAAAAAAAAAATAAGGTGGAGTTCATGCACAATTCAATCAGCCAATCAATCAGTGGCTGAATAAATAGCAGTACTCCTACATTAAAAAAGAAAAGAAAAGAAAAGAAATAGAAATCTAGGCTTCTTTTAAGTATGTCCTGACTTTGTCAACTCTGACTGTCCTTTGAGTGGTTGCCACAAGTAACTAGGTGGTAGAGAATGTGCAGATCAGATCACCTCCACTTCAGACGCTTCTGAAATGTTGAGCAGTTGCCCTTACCCAAACACTACAGCCATCTCTCCTGGTCAGCTGCATCCCAGGGCTGCCCGCTGCACCCTGCCCGACAGCGCCTCCCTGTGGCTGGCTCTTTCAGGGGGAGGGGGAGGACAGCAGAGGCTGTTCTGGCTGCAGTGCAGAACCCCCAGAAGGGCTTGTCACAGACCCGCCTAGGGGTGGACAGCGCTGATGATTAGCACCCTGAAAAGCCTTCTTGACTTTTTTTTTAACAGACCTAACTACTGTAATGACTGCTGCGTGTTCAGAGAAACCACGGGAAAGTCCTTCGCTGGTTGTCTGACATTCTTGGATTTGATATGAACCGACACCTAGTCTTGTTATCACCGACTGAACCCCAGTGCGTGTACGTTCTTCACATTCCTTTCTGTTGTGTTTGGGAGAAAAAGACTTCTCCGCCTTTTCGAAGGTTCTCGATTTAATTCCATGTTGTTTGGTTGCATGAAGTTGCCCTTAACCACTAAGGATTGTCAAGATTTTTGCACAAACTCATCCTCATCTAGGGTCCCTTTGATCGAGGCAGTAATTATGGCTCATCATTCTCCTGCCTTTCCTCCAGGGCCACCAAAAACTCAGTTCAGTATAAATTCGCATTTGTTTAATGACCACTCAACATAATGCTGAAGAGATTTCCTCTCTGTGGCAGAGCCCAGGAACCAATTCCTAGATATACAATGCCGGCATATTGAAGATGGAAGTAAAAATTGCTCTTCAGTTTTGAGGCCATGTGTAAAAGTTTAATCATGTTGTAAAATATCTATTCCATATTAGAACTAGCTAGTTGACAGCTGATACTTCTCCAGGTCCACGTTGTTATGTATGCAAACTCAGTTTCTGTATGTGAGGTTAGTGAGTCTCTGTGTTACGTAAAAATAAAGGCGATGATTTATTTTTTCCCAATGCCAATTTGAGCTCGTCTCTCAAGGTAGGTACTTGACACGTGACAGTGGGGCAGCAGCAGCCCTGTGAGGAGCCGAGAGCACACGGATTTCAAACCTAGACTGAAAATGAACTCTTTGTTTTCCTTTGGAACTAGAATTAGCATAGTTACTATTCATCCACAAGCCATGATTATGTGTACATTATTGTTGCTCTTGTGATAATAGAGAGTTTTATTTATTTTTATGCCGGCTTCAATCGTGAGACACACGTAGTCGGTTTGGGTTTTATCGATCCTGTTATGCTTGTCCTTAGAGCCTCTTTCGCGTACTCGAGGTTTGTAGTTGAAAAGTTTACTGTAAAAAAAAAATCAAAAAACAAAACAAAAAAAATGTATTGTTTTTACAAAATAAATTTATTGGAATGTGTACTTGGCAGTAAGATTTGAGGTTGTAAAGTCGGTGTAACTTGGCTTCATATATGTAATGTGAGGTATTCATGTAATTCGTATATTAAAGCAGAAGTGGTAAACAGGAAGTTAACCGTAGAATCTAGTGCAGTTGAGGGTTTCTTGTTTTTTTCCCCCAACACTCTGGGCTCCAGGTTTTGGGAAGCATTGGTGGGAGGGAAGGGAATAGAAGGGAGAGGAATCACTTCCTGGTTGTCTGAGCTAATATTTCCCAGGGACAGGGCCCCGCACTCAGACCCTGGCAGTCCCCACGCATCCATACGGCCCTGTGTCCTCCTCTCAGTGACGAGCTAATACAGCTGTAAAACCTAGGGCCATCTGCAGTGATGAGGGTGACGGTGTGTGGGCTGAGGCAGCCCCAGTGCGCCCCCCACCCTGGGGTGCAGTACTGGCCTCTCGCCCGGTCCCTCCCACTCAGCAGAGACTAATTTTCCTTGTGACACACACTCTCCATTCCAAATAGGAACTGGTCACTGAGCTGGAAAAGGGTCCATGCCAGTTCTTTTTTCCCAAAAAAGGGCACTTTAAAAATTTTAAGTATATTGATTTGAATTAAAACTTGTGGGGGAAAAAAATGGAGGGGGAGTGGTATGCCTCCTGAGCAGTGCTCAGAGGGCCTGGGACCCCCCAGTGACACCCAGCCAACCAGGTCAGCGGGCAGTGCTAGGGCCTGAGGACGAGGTGCTTATCCGGCCCTGCCCTGTTCAGGGCTGGACCTAGGTCACCCCTGACCCTACCCTATCTCCCCCACCCCTAAAAATGGTGAAATGTAATTTACTCATCAAAATATCTCTTGAATTCTCACCCTAAAGTGAATGTATATGACATTTTGAATTGGAACATATAACTGACAGATTTTTTAAATAAAAAAGCCTAAAGACTATGAAACTTTCTGAAAGTATTTATCTTCATCAAAAGCAAAAAAGAATTTTATTAAAAATGTATACAGAAATATTTTCAGTTATCAATAAAACAAGAATTTGTATCAGCCACAAAAATATTTTGTAGTAAAAGCAGTTTTTAAAACAACAGTAAATAATATGCTTTCCTCAGAACAACATTTTGAAACAAGAGTTTTAAATAATTCTGGTGATTTGCCTTGTAAGTTGAGGTTGATAATGAAGCATACATCTATCTTTGCAAACAATATTGCTCCAATCTGTATTTGCAATTTTGAATTTGTTCATAGGTACACAACATGTTTACTTTGGACAGTTTTGGTTTGGGGTTGTAGGAACTAAATTGTAACTTTTAGCGTGTATTATACTGTGTGCAAATAGAATATTGATATGATCATCAGGTTCGTTCACAAGTAATTTTGAATGCGTTTCTTGAAACAGTCAGCAGTTTTCCTTCAGAAAAAGAGGCTTTGCCCTCCCAGTCCCACCTGCGGGTCCACACGGGTAGTGCAGAGCAGGAATTGCCATTCCCAAGCCCCTGGACCTGAGGAGGGAGGGCTCAGCATCACCAAGGTCGGTGGGAGAACAGGAAGACATGTTTTCATTCGACTTTTTCATCCACCTTTGTTGTTACAAAGAACTCTGGCTTGTGGATACAGCGGTAGGCCAGGAGCTGCGGAAGAACTCCATAGGCTACGTTTAATGCTAGGAAAAGAATTTTCGAGTCTTCCGGGACTCTGTAGACATAAGCAGTTCTAGCGTGTAGAGAAGCACCGATGTGAGAGAACTGAGCCTGTTGGATTTAAAAAAGTAAGAGGGGTGGAGGAGTGTGACTTTTCTGTTCACTTGGATGCAAAGGGAGTTCCGAATGACCCCTTCACTCCTGCCTCTCAGAACTAGTACATCCAACCCCCGCCCCCGTCTGTGATATCCCATGGCCTGCGGACCTTCTTGAAGTGCTCGAGATCACCCCTCCTTAGCATGGCTTTGTTCCGCCAGTTGTTTTCAACCCGACATGCCCCAGACCAAACATGAGTGCCTCTGTTTAACAGGAAAACATGAATAAAATCTCAGTTCTGATCTGCGCGTTATAGACACTCTGTAGGGGACTTAGCTGTAACTTAACAAACATGTTCCACTGAAAAGGAACCGAGCGCAGAGTGGAGGGGCTGAGATACTTGCAGATGATCTACAGAGAAGCTCTGGGAAACTCCGCTCCACTGACTAAGGACTGGAAGCCTTTTCTTACATGCTTCTGTTCATTCATTCCCTTGATTTATATGTAACTCTGAAACTACCAAGGTTTGGGGCAGGAGTGATAGTATAACAGGTAGGGCATTTGCCTTGCCCCTGAACAACCTGGGTTTGATCCCCAGCACCCCATCTGGTCCCCTGAACCATTGGGAGTTGAGACCTGAGCACTGCCAGGTGTGGCCCCAAAACAAAGTAAATAAAAAGACGACCACGTGTTGTTTTATAAAATATGAATGTTGCCACCTGGGTGGGTGGAGGTTAGGGTATGGCTGCTTGTTATAAAGTGGTTTTTCGAATCAGAGGCTCATTTACTGAAAGATCTGGCTCAACGTTTGCCAAACACAAAGGCTAGAGCTTCTCATTTCTGCTGGATTTGTCCAGAACAAACATTCAAATGTGTCTGGTTAGTTGGTTTGTTTTGATTTGTGTTTTTTGTTTTTGTTTTTTTAAGATGTGGGGGGCCATACTCAGGGGTGCTCGGGGCTTACCCCTGGCTCTGCACTCAGGAATTGCTCCTGGCAGTGCTCAAGTGACCATAGAGGTTGCTGAGGAATGAATCTGGGTCAGCTCCCTCAGGGCAGGCTCCCTACGTGCTGGACTACCTTTCTGGTCCCTGGTGGTCTTTTCTTGATCCCCCTCTTTTTCCTTGAAAATAACTCTTGATCTTTCTTTTAAGCACAGAGAAACCCTCTTTTCAAAGGCTTCTGAGAGGGTTTTCTCAGAACCTTGTATCACTGCAACAGATCTTCACTTCTGTGTCTTAATGAAATTCAAGATCCACATGAATAAGGGATTGGAAATCTCAATGTAAGTGGCAAATTATTAATGGGGACCAAAGGGAAGAGACGTGTATTATAAACTACAGGCACAGAAGTAACAGGAAAAGCTCAATTTGCTCTCAGTATATAAGTTCCCTTCCACTTCCTTCTATCTGAAATGAAGAAGGAAAGGAAAAAGCTTCCACAAGCTTCCCTGGATAGATCTAGATGACAGTCAAGGACAACAAGTTTTGGGGGCTCTGGTATAATTTTGCTACTCTTCAGAGATAAAAATTAAGTTGGGCTGGCGAGGTAGAACAGACATTGGAAGGCGCTTGCCTTGCATGAAACAGCCTGGGTGCCTTTTGCATATAGTCCCGAGCATCATCAGGAGTTACTCCTGAATACCATAGAAAGAAAGGAAGTTGGTGTGACATGTCGCCATGCCCAGCCCCTGCGACTCCGGCACTGTGACTTGAAAGACCCTGGCTGCCTGTGCTCTCCCACCGGCCTGCAGCGGTCTGTGTGCCCTTTGCCACTGACCTTCAGCCCGTTTCCTCACGTGTGCCAGCAGATGTTATGTCTCCAGTGCAGAGGCTGTGAGGTATTCTTTGTGCCATCCATACAGGGAGCTCATAGCCATGCCCCGCCCTCACACAGGAGCATTCCCTGGCTCAGAGGCAGGCCCCACGTGCCCCCCACCATCACCACCACCGTGCTTCCCTCTTGCTGTTGCTGCCCAGTACCTGAGCTAGCCCTCCTGCGTGGACCAGCGTCATGTCAGGCATCCAGGAGCACCCAGGGACCACCAAGCCATAAAGTGCGAGCACATAGTAAGGGACAGAGTAGAACAGATACACCAGCATCTATAGTAAACAAAGAGAGATCAGCAAATGTATGCCTCACAAAAGCACCCATAACAATCTCAGAAAGTTCCCGCTTCCTATACGAAATCACATAAAAAAAAAAATTCAGAAAATTTGGAATCCACTGACCTGGATCTTAGGATACGCTGCGGGGTCCTTCAGGTAAGGCTCTTGAAACTGCGTGTAGAGCCGGCAGAGCTCAGCTGGGCAGTCCAGAGCAATCTGAGGACAAAGAGGAATCCGTGATGAAGAGACAGTTTCATGTGGCACTTAGCTTTGCCATAAGGCTCAGCTTCCAGGGTTCATCGCAAGCTGCCTCACTGTTTCAGGAGGATATGTTCAGGGATGAAGGGACTTGCCTCCCACCAATCCCAGTTAGATCCCCAGCACCACATCACCAGAAGTGACCCTGAGCGCCACCAGGTATAGTCCAAATATATATATTTTTAATTAAAAAAAAAAAGAGTATGTCTTGTAGACTCTCAGGAGTAAAGGGGCAAGAACCCAGAGGTTTCCTCCGGAAAGCAGGGAATGGAAGCCAAGCAGGCATTTCAGGGACCTTCTGGGATTCGGCCAAGCATCTGGGTTTGGCTGGGCACAACTGTTCCGCTTGCCCTGGGAATGACGGACTCATCTTCTTGTGCTTTGCAAGATTCAAAGCATCTTCCTCCCCAGTGGGTGTCAGTCGGTACAATGGGCCCCAACCTTGTGAAACACCTGCACTAGCCCCACATTCCCACCTGCATCTCCTTGCATCTGTGGCTGGACCCGGGTGGGTGGGGCATGGCAGGAAGTGGGGCCAGGCCTGGCTCTGTTCTAGGGAGGGCCCGTGTCAGAACTACACACCCGCTTACCAGGCCTCGGAACAGGCAAAAGGCGGCCGCCAGCAGGAGACCCATCACCAGCAGGAGGTCCGGAGGTCTGCGCAGCAATGCCTGGGCTTGCACCTCCTGGACCACCTAGGCGAGACTTTGTGATAATGGAGCAGGCCCCGTCTGGGGCTCACCTAATATTAGAGCATCATCTGTCTGCCCGTGTCACCTCACCCCTGAAGGGAGACAGAGCCAGGACGGCTTTACAGCTGTCTCCTTGAAATCACATTTTCGTAATTAAAATGTGTGACCAGTTTTTCAAAAGGTCCTAGCCCATCACATGTCCCTCAGTGACACCGTTTTCCCAGTCATAACACACACGAGCACAGTCTGCACAGGATGCAGTGAAGGCGGCATATGGCCCATAGTCTGCTGGGGTTCCTTTGCTGGCCGCGTCACCCACCTACTGTTGGCCAGCCTGTGGCAGCTCTTCTCCTGCCCCAGGTGGACATGGAAGATGTCCACAGCTTTTGCACTGCCCTTGCATGATGGGGAGCAACTGTCTGTGTGTCTGGCAACATCTGGACTCCCAGAGGTGGAGTCACGGGGTTTGAACATGGAGTCACGCCCCATGCAGCTCTACTGCCCTCAACTCTGAGATGGCCGGCTTCCCTGGGTACATGCCATCTCAGCATGAAAACAAGGAAGTCTTTGTCACTTGTCAGTGACAGAAGTGCCGCTGGCAGGATGGAAATGACAAACTGAAGCCAAGTTTACTTTTGCCTTTCCTTGTTCTTTTTTTCCTTTTTGGGTCACACCCAGCCCTGCTTAGAGGCTACTCCCAGCTCAGTGCTCAGGAGTCACTCCTGGCAGGGCTTGGAGAACCATATGTGGTGCCTATGGCACTCAGCCTGCTCGCTCTCTCTCTCTCTCTCTCTCTCTCTCTCTCTCTCTCTCTCTCTCTCTCTCTCCCACCCCCTTTTCTTTTCCAACAGCCACCTCATTACTTAAAGGATGGTGAGGGGATACCCCGGCTGGGTCAACCTCAGGGAGCCACAGTCTGGAAACTAAATGCCTTCACTGATTCTATTGCAAATTTTTTGTGAGATGAATACTCAGGTCCACATGGTCTTACCTAGTAACTCATGTTTTGAAGTCAGTTCTACCGAAAGGTTCTTGCTTAAAGCTCTGAACCCTATAAACCAGCAATGCCCCAAGTGGGCTGTATCGTGCCCCCCGGGGAGGGGGGAGCAGGGCATGTTGTGTTCTCTTAAAGAGGGCAGAGTTCCATAGAGTGCTGAGGAAGCTTCTTTCCGCGGGGGGAGGTCAGCCAAATCTGCTGTGAACTGAGGACCTGAATGAAGTGCCTCCCAGGCCCCCGTGCCAGGTTGTGCTGAAGATGCTCATATGCCTTGACTCAGGCCCCACCACCCTGAGTTCTGTGAAGAACTTAGGGGGTGGAGCTCGGGGGTCACTGGCATGGGTACCTTGAAAGGGATGTCCTGAGGCCACCATGTTTGATAAACAGGTTCCTGAGCCCCTTACCAGGGCATGGCCAGCACTTCGGGTCAGTCCAGCTATGCTGAGCACTGGACCTGTGAGTGTGAGGACAGGTTCTGTAGAACAGAGCAGAATCACCTTGGAGGAGTAATTGCAGTTTTCGGGGGGCTGCTGATAGATTCTGAAAGCGGCCCAGACAGAAAGGCAGGCATACGGCACGCTCAAGAAAACCGCTGGGCAGAAGCGAGCCCCATACTTCCCTAGAGAGAGAGAGAGAGAGAAGATTGCCAGGCACATCCATGCGCCATGAGACTGGTACCCTCCCAACCCAGAGACTCTCCCGGTGGTGCTCAGCCCAGCCATTCCTGCCTGGAGCTCAGTGCTCAGGCTCAGCGTTGCTGAAGGCAACCACAGCCACACCTAGAGGTAAGCACAGTGGGGACAAGGTGGTCCCAGGGATCAAACTCCGCCTCCAGCGTGCAGTGTACCTGGTCCGCGCTGCCCTCCCTGGCCCGAGACAGGAAGTTTTGGTTTTGAGGTATTTATTTTTGGGGGAAGGGGGTATGGGGGCATCTTGCGCGGGGGCGGCGAGGGGATGCTAAGGCCAATCCTGGTGACACTGGCCCAGCCAGACCAGCTGACTGATGTGGCATCTTCACCCATGGTGCTGTGATTGCCTGTAGCACCAACGACCACTACAGCGGCCTTGCGGGTGTTTGGGGTCTCCGGGGCCACACCTGCTGGTGCTCCATGGTCACGTGCATGTGGTAGGAACCAAACTTGGACCTTCCACATGCAAAGCCCACTGGGCCTCTCTGACCTCAATAAAGTATTTTTAATAAGATGAAGTAAAAGCCAGTATAGTATATTAAATGTTTATTAATAGACATTCTCGGAGAGCCCGGCAAGCTACCGAGAGTATTCGATATGCCAGACACAGTAACAACAAAGTCTCCAATGGAGACGTTACTGGGCCCGCTCTAGCAAATCGACGATCAACGGGAGGGCCTTTACCTTTTAACTTTTTAATAGACATGTCCTGCCTACTGTTTTCAAAAGTATATTTAATAATACTATGACTCCTTGCATGCACCAATAATACCCTCTTTCACATTAACTTTCCAAACTAAATTTTCAGGTCCTTTAATGGGGTTCCCATAGGGTGTCAGGAGCTATATGAAGTCTCTGTTTTGGGTTTTTTTGTTTGTTTTGTCTTTATGGGTCACACCTGGTGTGCTCAGAGTTACTCCTGGCTCTGCACTCAGGAATCACTCCTGGTGGTGCTCGGAAGACCATATGGGACGCCAGGGATTGAACCTGGTTCGGTTGCATGCAAGGCAAACGCCCTACCCGCTGGACTATGACTCCAGCCCCTTTATGAAGTATTTGTACACTAAAAATACACAAAGTTCATCGACTTTCTCCTGCTATTTCCTCCTAAAATGTGAGGCGTCACCCTGCTACACTGTCTATGTCATGTGCTTTTAAAAATTCAAGGGGTTTCTTCAGGAAGGAGAGACCATGAAAGGGAAAGGAAGAATTCTTTCAAGCAGCTTTCTGGTGAGTTGAGAATTTCTTGTTCTGTTATAACCAAAATACCTGCTCTCTTTCAAAACAATCCCCATTGTTTCAGAAAAGGAAAGAAATCTTAAGAGAAAGGTTTCTTACCTACAATGTTTCCTGGCACGAACACAATAATGCTCATTAAAACAGACCCGACCCAGTAGAGGCCGATGGTTCTGTAACTCTCCCTGAAATAGAGAAACCAGCCTGGATTTAGTGCTCGTCTCCAGGCACCACTAGTGGACGTCCCACCATCCCAGTCACCCGTGTCTGGCCAAGTCTATATTTCCCCAACAGAGACGGGCAGAGGACTGCTGCTGCAGAGCTATTCTACTCTCTTCACAGGACCCTGGGGTTCCCCCTGCCATCTATAGATGCATCGCACGGCCAGATGGGGACCACAGGGCACGGCATTGGAGAACATGTTCACCAAGCGAGGTGAGTGGGACTCCACGTTCTCATGGGGCAGCCTGAGCCAGGGACGATGAGTGCCCCGGCCCTCAGACGGCTCTACCTCTAAGAGGCTCAGAAAGCCACGCAGGAGATTCCCAAGGGGACCCCAAACGGGGCAGCCTGTCTCCTTCCTGCCACGCTGCACCCTACCCCACCCATGGCAGATTCCAGAGCCTCTACATGGGTCCCCAGCATTCCTGGAAATGTAGGGTGAGTCTCAGAGCTGGGGCATATCCACTTCTGGGGAAGAAGCTGGTTCCTAGAGACCCCCAGAGCTGCCAGTCAGGGAAGCCAGCAGAGAGGTGGGCATGGACCTCACCAGCTACGCTGCGGCTCCAGGGTGGCCAGGGACCCCAGTGGACTGCAGCGACAACACCCCAGGGCTCAGGAATGAAGCCCCTGGAGCTAGACACACGGTGCCAGGCTCTCCAGGTCTCCCTCGTGTCCTCGAAAGGGGAACCACAGCCAGCCCCCAGCCCCATGCACCCCAGTGCACACACATGCTTCTGAGGGTCCCTCCCCGCCGCCCCCACCGTTCCCCCTGGCTAAAGCGAGACCCAAGCCTGACAGTGCTGGAACAGGACTGGGCGTGGGGTCCCCTCACTCACTCCCAGGCGATGGCAGCCACCATGACCAGGTACATGAGGTAGTGTGCCGAGCCGTCCCAGTAGCACAGCATGTGCCCATGCGCGGTATTCAGGTGTGGTTCCCCCTGCGGAAGCAGGAAGCACAGCCAGGACAGTCCAGGGACGGGCAGGAGCAGGCTCTCGGTGCCCACATGCCCCGATGCCCATACAGGACAGGGTGGGCAGAGAAGCTGCATTGCCCCAGGTGCCCTGGGCAAGTGGCCTCACCAACACTAAGTGACACTGATATGTCAGCTAGACTCACAGGTGCACAGAGGTGCTGTTCTCAGTGACTCACACCACGGGGCAGTGGGGGGCCAGCTGTGAGGGAGAGGCCAGAGATGGTTCTGTGCTCTCTCCCACCCTGACCCCTGCCTGTTCCAGTGTCCCACAGGCCAGGCCACGTCAGGGCCCTCCTGTTGGGCCGAGGCTATGGCCAGCCCGTACCTCTCTTAGGAAGTGGGTCATGAAGCCGTCCACCACCCCGTCCTGCTCCAGTCCCACGATGAGGTTCCCCACGCTGACGAAGCCGAACACAGCATACACTGGAGCAGAGAGTGCAGCTCAGCGGATGGGGACGTGGTCAGCTAAGCCTCGACTGTCCCAGAGGGATCCCCGGGTCATACCCCCGTCCTGCACCCCACCCGGGCATCTGGAAGTAGGGAGACAAGTGCCGGATCCAAGAGTGGCCCCGAAAAGGAAATGACTCATGACAGCTATGCCACAGGGCCCGTGCAGCATGCCCAGGGGCCTGGCCACTCCTCTCTGTAGCTGGACAGCGGCTTCAGGAAGGGAGGCCAGTGACCTGACACATGGGTACAGATGCCAGGCTCCCTGCAAGTAGGTGGTTGGGAAGGGGTCAGAAGTCAGGGGTCAGGGCAGCTAGGGTAGGGTGAGAGATCTGTGGGGAGGCGGCAGCTTGGATCCAAGCGCACAGTAGCCCTGAAACTGTTTACACATGCGGCCACTTTCATCAGTGGCTTCAGCACATGCTCAGAAGCCACGAACACCCGCGGACGTACCGTAGAAGAGAGGATCCCGCGGCGGCTTTCTCTTCACCAGGACCCGGGCCAGCAGGGCAACCAGGAGCAGGATGAGGCCAGCAACACCCACCACGATCCAGGAACTGCAGCAGCCCAGAACAGGGAGGCGGTGACCCCGGCTGCTTATCGCCATGCACAGGCTGGGGCTGGAATTTCCTGCCTCTGCCTGCAGTGCCTGCCACGGGTGCCAGGAGCACCCCTCAACCCTCCCACCCCCCCTCCTCCTGCTCACCCCTCTCTCAGACTAGACATGTCTCCCAGCTGAAAGAAGGATCACAGATCATGAGTAGACTCGGAGGGCCAGAGAACAAGACCATGGCATGAGGGATGGATGGATGGATGGATGGATGGATGGATGGATGGACGGACGGACGGACGGACGGATGAGGAGTTGGTGACATACTTATGAGGGATGATGGATAGTGGCTGTAGACTGTAGACAGAGAGAGATGGAGGGGTGGCAGGGGGGTGGACCGTTCTGTTAGCACAGGGCTGATGGATTCATTCCCTGCAGTGGGCATCAGTAGGGGCTCAGAGTGCTCCCGTCGGATGAGCTGGAGGAAGGGAGGCAGGAGAGGAAACTTGTGTGCTGGGCCCCCCTGTGGGACAGAGGGAGGAAGTCGGGGCTGCTGTGGAGCAGTGAACTCAACCGGGGGCATCTGAGCCCCACCGTAAGGGAGGCGCAAAGAAGGCCACGAAACTGGGGCAGCATCAGCAGGTCCCCTGGCACCAGCAAGTGCAGGAGGAGGTGCCGCAAACAGGGCAGGGGGCTGGGAAGAGCGACTGGCTAGAGAGAGGATACCAGAGAGGGAGCAGCGCATACATTGTGTGTGTGTGTGTGTGTGTTACTGAGTGTGAGCATGTGTGATTGCGTGTGTGAATGTGTGTTATTGGTGTGACTGTGTGAATGTGTGTGGGGGGGGGTGTGAATATGTGACTGGGTGTGTGATTATGTGAGTGTGTGTGCATGAGTGTGTGACTGTGTGTTTGAGGGAGGAAGGGAATCAGAATCTCAACTTTTTCCTAACCCCTCAAGCTAAATTGCTTTTTAAACTTTTTTTAGTTTTGGGGCTACACTTGGCAGTGCTCAGGGTATACTCCTGGCCCTGTGCTCAGAAATCATTCCTGGCAGGGCTTAAGGTGCTGGAGACTGAACTACCTACAAGCTCTACCTGCTATCCTGTCACTCTGGCCCCTTCTTTTGCTTCTGTTCAGACTTTCCCGAGAGGCCTTACTCTTACGGAAAGAAAGATCCAGCACCTCTCCTGCCTCCCCTCCCCCCTCCTGCCCACAATCCCATGCTGGTGGGAGCACCCCAGAGGGCGCTGTGGCCTGAGGTAAGTCTGATCCCCAGAGAGACACAGTCCTGGGTTCAGCATCCTGCTGTGCCGCCCCAGGAACAGCCACTCTGGAGCAAGCTCAGGTGGGCCTGGCCTGGGGCTGGGGGACCAGGAACCCCAGAGGGGGACAGCAGAGGGAGGGGTGAGAGGCCACTGCTGTGCAGAGGGACGCAAAGGTGACCCAGCAGTCCTCTCTGGAGCTCTGTGCCACCGGTGCCCCCAACTGGCCTGCCTGCAGCCAGTTCTGCTGCCACCCCAACAGAGACCCGCGCCAGCCTCTCCACGTCCCTCCAGCTCTGCACCCTGGAGTCTCCTTACAGTCACTTCATTCAAGAGGCCCTCCCTGACCACCAGCCTCCTCCTTCTTGGCATCACCCCACTCCCTCTGCGGGCACCTGTCTTCACATGTCCTCCCACCCCTTTCCTGGAGATGCCCACTGCAAGCTGGGCAGAAATGGGGAGGAGGAGCAGGGACAGGCCCTTGTCCCCAGCCCCAGGCCACTGCTGGCCAAAGTGGTCCAGAGTAGACAGTGCTCAGGGGACAGACCAGGTCCCTGTACAAGGCACAGTGCTCGTGGCCACCGCAGGGGGCAGGAGGAAGTCCCCTCCCCAAGGCAGCCGCTTTTCTGGCTGGAGGGTGCTGATGCAATTTCCTTAGCACCAAGTGCTGAGAGAATCAGGTTCCTTCCCCCTCGCCAGGGCCGCAGCCGAAGCCCTGGCAGCTGTCCCACCCTGCCAGCCAGCAACTGGCATGGGCCACCCAGCCCATGGTGGGCCCTGCCACCGCCCTCCTGCCCTGAGTCCTGCCACCGGGTCTCCAGCCCACTCGGGACAGAACACGGGCCGCCGGCCGGGTGGGGAAACTGAGGCCCACCCCACCCTTTTGCGCCCGGCCAGCCCCGGGTTCAGAGCTCGTCCTGCTGGCCCCGCTGCAGTTTCCACAATGAATACGAACTTCGAAGTCTGTGTGTGTCAGTGGAGCAGGTCCTGGAAGGCCAAAGCAACAGGGCGCCCCGGCCCCAGGCCGCCTCGCAGGAGGGTCCGCACCCACACCCGCCCCGGCATCCCGCACCCTCCCCCGACCGAGGCCGCCCGCACCCGCGTCGCGCCGCGCCCACTCACTCGTGCTGGGCCACCAGGTGGTTGAAGACGTAGGTGACCGGGATGGCCGAGAGGGACAGCACGAAGACCCCGGTGGCCGCAGAGGCGCTCATCGCTGCGCCCGCGCCCGCCGCGCGCCCTTCACCGCATCCCGCCCGGGCCCAGCTCGGCGCCCCGCCCCGCCTCCCCGAGCGCCGCGCCCCCCGCCGGCCGGCCCCGCCCCGCGCCCGCACCCCGCGCCCCCGCTGCCCTGCCCTGCCCTGCCGCGCACCCCACTTGCCCTGCCCTGCACCCAGCTGCCCTGCACCCGCACCCCAGCTGCCGCACTCCGCACCCGCACCCCACCTGCCTCGTCCCGCGCCCCGCGCCCCGCGCCCCGCGCCGAGCCTAGCACCCTGTGCCTTGTGCACACCCGCCCACAGCGCCCCCAGACAGCTGAGCAGCGAGGGGCAGTCCGGGACCCCGCTCAGGGGCGCTCCGGGGAGGGCGCCTGATCCTGCACACACGAAAGCACCACCTTCCGGTCCCCCCATCCATGAGAAGGACAGATGCCACCTGGGTGCCTCGCCGCAGCCCAGGCGCTAGCAAGTTCCTGCAAAGAGCTGGCAACTCCACTGCCGTTGACCTTGAGCAAGTCGCTTAACCTCTCTGTGCCTTTCCTGGTCTTGCCCCCAACACACACACACTCTGGGACCAGGTAGTAGCTGTTTAAGTATCAGCCTGAAAGCTGTTTCCCATAAGCCTGTTTGGGTTGAATGTGCCTTGGGACAAGCCTGGTTGGCAATTCAGCCCTAGACCATCCCCCCTTCCCCGCCTGCCCGCCTGCCTTTCTCAGCAGGGTCTTTCTCACTGGAAGTGGCTGGAAGCTCTGGGCTATGTTCCTGCTGGGGACAGGAGAAGGGGCAGCAGAGAAATGGTCAGGGGGTTTCCCAAGAGAACATGGTGACCAGGAGCCCTGGACTGCGGGGAGACCACACCCCCAGAAAAGGAACCTAGTCCACAGCTGTGCAGGACATTGCTGAAGCATGCATGCTAAGTGAATCTCTGGGCGGCATCCCCTCGGTGCCCCACCCCAAGACTTCCTGCAGAATCTAGAGCCATTTCTGTATGAAGAACTGGGGTTCAGGGAGGTTAGGGGCTTGCCCAAGCTCAGAGGGGAAAGAGTTCAGTTCAAAACCTGCACTGTGACACTTCTAGACTTGGTGCCTTAGAAATAAGACCCCAGAGGACCAGTGACTCAGTGCCAGAGTCTGGAGCCTAGAGCCCAATAGTCCCCAACTGCCCATGCACGCCCAAGGGCCTGACATGGTAGGGACTTGTGTTTGTCTCCGGAGTAATGGTCTCAGAAGCTGTGCACTCTGAGAGCATGGCTGGGAAATCTGACTCCACTGCGTGGAAGCAAAAATAGCACTGTGGAAGGCTCCATGCACCCCGGGACTAGAGCAAGGCAGTGCCCAGAGGCTGTGTGCTCTGTCACTGCATGCACCCCAGGACTGGGACGAGCCAGTGCTGGGTGACTGTGCTCAGTCACTGCCAGCATCCACCTGCTTCTTGCAGAAGTGGGAACGAGGTGGTCCATGCATGAGGCAGGAGCGCCGTGGTGTATGGGTCCCGTCTGATAGTTCTCACTTCCCACTGGCTGCATGCTCAGATGCAAAGTTGGCTTGTGTCTGACAAAAGCAGAACTGCGATAGCGGTGGTCTTGGGCTACTGGTCCAGGCACAGGCCGGAAACCGCCAGTCTGCTGTTGGCATGTGGGACACAGACTCTAATGGAGAACGCCAAGAGGATCACGCCACAGTTTCCACTCATAGGCCTTGTGGCCCAGGGAAAGCATGGTGCTCTGTGGGGATCACAGTCCCCAGGTCTAAGCTGGAGAAGGGACCAGAGAGTGGCCGGGCCAATCTAAGAGTCACTTAAGTTCCCCCGACACCAGACTCCTCGGTAACATCAGCAACCCAACTGGGCCACAGTGACTAAGGTAGTAGTGGTCAGTGGTGGTGGCTGTGTTCTAACACCTCAGGCAGAGCCAGGCCCCCCACAGATGACTGATAAAATTAAAAAACTGTGGAAACTGGGGGCTGGAGAGGCAGTCCAATAGGGAGGGCACTCACCTTGCACATGGCCCATCTGGGTTCAATCCCCAGCACCCCATATGGTAACCTGAGCACCACCAGGAATGATTCCTGAGTGCAGAGGAGTAAACTGAGCATCACTGGGTGTAGCCCAAAAACCCAAGGAGGAAGGTGGGGGTCACAGGACAGGACCAGAAGAGTATACGAGATAAAGGAAGTTAAGAATATACACAGGAGAAGTGATAGAGCAGGCAGGGCCAGTGTGGAGACAAGCGGGCCCAGCTGCCTAGTTTCCAAGCAACCACAGCAAGGAGGCCAACAGAAGCAGCAGTGACAGCCTCAGTGTCCGTAAGACGCAGCAGACCAGTTGGTCAGAGGAACTCTGCCTGATCGTGTAAAGGGACGCGGTGTCACTCGCTGTCACCGAGTAGGTATGTCCTCAGCAAGATTCCAGAACAAATATAGAAGCTCCCAGCACTGTCCCAGTATCCTCAAGGCAGGTGCCTGGCTGCTTGCCAAGCTGGGACCCAGGA